GGTGGTGAAAGGCCACATACTAAAAAGTGCTAGAAATTGCTGACGTGGAACTTTCATTAGCTTTTATGCAGCCTTTGACGCATCCACTGGTTTTATTAAGAGAATTAATGGGAGGGAGGCAGGACACTAAGATTGTTTCATCTTGTCCTTGGGGCATTGACTGTCAAAGAGACTGATGCAGTAAATAAAGTGTCTGGGGTAATAGTGACCAATTTGTGTGAATTTTATCTAACAACAGCTCAGAGCATAATGCTGCACACTTTTAAAAAAAAAAAAAAAGTCCACAACAGTTGGCTTTAAGACGCTGAGTTGTCCTTCTTTCTTTCCTCAGAAAATGGCAGCACTTCATCCAGGAACTGTCAGGTCTGTATCAGTGTATAGCTTCCCCAAATAAGGGCGAACACTGTTCTGTCCCCAGTCATTATGAAATCCATTAATGCTCCATTTGATCCAGAGAATTCAATGCTGCTTCCCCTTCAACAGCCAGAGGACAGAAGTACTGCTGGAGCAGGCTCACAATTACTCTTCGTGCTATACACACGTCATTTTTACCCTGCCCTGATCACCGTAAGATTGAACCATTCCATGATTCTGTGAAGCGCACCTTTGGCGTGGAAGAGGCCAGCAAGCCCTGCGCAGCCTGCCCAGACGCCACGTGGTCCCACCACCGGGGAAAGAAGGATTGCCACGAGGGCAGCACAGACAGACACAGAGCGACATCACTCCTCCAGACAGGCTTTCCGAAGCCTCCAAAGGCATGTTTAGCCAAAACCCTCCCTACATAACAGCGATTTCAGGGCTAACCATCAGTAAAATCACCTTCCTGAATGCTCTAATACCTTCAGACAGGCTGTTCACCATATATAGGGCTGTTTTAATGGGCATGGTGATTTGACTCTTATTTGCTCACTTTTATTTCTTAAGCCAATTATTCTGTGCCCCCACTATTTTAGAGAATAGCCATTGAATCAAGCACATTCAGAATCATTAGTCCTCTTATGGACACGCTGTATTTTTCTAAGTAAAGGGAGTTGGTAGGCTCATGTTGATATATGAATTCAGTATTTCTCCTTTTGGTCTGCTCGCCCAGATTTCTTGCTATCAGTCCAGCTGTAATGTCTTTGCATCTGCCACAGATGAGAGTATTGACTTGAAAAAAAGCAGACCCAGATACACATCCCACAGCATTTTAGAGCTGCTAAAAAATAATAGTTGATGCAAATAGTGCTTTGTAAGTTAAAAGCATTACACAATCTCTGTTTTAGCTGAGGATAAACAGTTCCACGGTGCAGATTAGTAATGAGATGTCATTGGCAGAGACAGAAAAAGTTGGGTCTCCAGAGCCTTATTCTAGCATGCTGTCCCCTCAACTACATTGCTTCCAAATGCAAATATTTGCCCTGAATAGAATGTTCATGCTTCCTACCTAAACAGCAGCCTTGAAATTTACAATAATTAATGTCACCATTTGACAGCACTAAGGAATACATCTACAGATGCCATATGTAAAGAGAGAGCTGTCTTAAAGCACTTGAGAGATGTGGCTCATTCATTTTTTCCAGGACAGTTGCTCATATGGTGGTTTAATGAAAGACAGCAGAAGCAGAGGAGGATTCTTAACTTCAGCACTCAAATGTAATAATAATACTTACTGTGAAAATACACAGAGACATTAAGTGAGCTATGCTGAAAAGATTCCCCTTTGGCAAAGGTATGAGTGCAGAAGTTGGTAGATTTTTTTATTAGCTGAAGTAACTGTCAGTGTGACAGTAACCAATGAACAGTATGTAATGGAGCATGTGCATGCATCTCTGCACACACACACACACACAAATACACACATGTATAGATATATGGATAGACACACACACAGAGGATATGAGTATATTGTGTGGCCATGTGCTGGTCATATATTTATCAACATATTTACATTCTATGATCAACAGTATTGTCTTAAATATAAAGACACTAAAAACATTTACAAAAAGAAACATGTCTTTTTCTGACATAAAAAGAAAAATCCACCAGAAAGTAGCAACATGTCATTGATTATTGATCTCTCTCCATCAATCAGCAAGACAAATACTTCCCTATTGCAGACTGGAGCGATGAGTGAATAATACCCCTTATACTTTGCTCTCCTGTCTAATCTGGATTTTTAACTTACTAAATTCCTGTGGCTAAAACCAACATTGTCAAGCCTTTCAGCTTTCAATTTGTTGGGTTAAGGGCCACTGCTGAGGCCATCAGCAGGTTCTCCAGCTCAGTAGCAATAAGGACAGTGGTAAGTGTGATCCTTGCTTTTCCATCTCATCCTCCTTACAGCTGCTATGACACCTACCATGCCTACAGTGTAGCTAGCCTCCTTACACAGAAATCAGACAGACAATCTGTGCTGCGGTGAATGCGTTCTCTGAGCGCAGCTTCAGCTAGCTGGAAATGAGGAAAAGCAGAACTCAAGAGCAGTTTGCCTGTCCTCGTCTTGCCTGTTAGATCCAGGGCAGGCATTTGGGTAACTTTTACCAACGAGACTGAAGCCAGATTTGAAGCAGAGACAGGCAGATGTAGGCACTGTCCCCAGTGGAGCTCTCTCAGGTTTCTAGCTCAGGCTAGAACTTTTCCTTGTTTGAGACTCTTGTATTGGTGGTCTGAAGTGCGTGTGCTTCAGGGGACCAGCTGGTAGCGCGATACAAAGATGATGCTTTTGATCAAGAAGCTCCTGGTACATACTCCCTACCTTCATCCCACCTCCTTCTTGGGAAAAAGCAGATTTTATCAAGTTGACGGAGTCTATAACTGTCTTTGTCAGTTCTGGGAATTTAATCATCTTTGTGTTTTTCAGTCTCGGTACTCAGCTGTTCATGTGCAGCACTTCTAATGCAGCCAGCTCCTCCATGTTGAGCAAACTAGTCTTTAGTCGCATTCTAGAGACTTCATAGAGACAACCCTAGCACTCATAAGAAAAGTAGACCACAATCTCCTTCCACAGCCTAAGCAAGCAGAAGAACTTCTAGCTAGCAAGCTTTCCTGTAACTGCAGTGTTGTTAGGCACGGAGCCACCCACGAACACAAGTAGTAATGAGTTGAACCTGACCTTATCAGATGAGGGGGGATGTTTTTCTTTGCAGGAAGTGAAGCAAAACTAAAGTAGTAAGTGCTTTTATTATTTTCACAGAGTATTTAGCTTTGAGACAGTACTCCTTTGAGAAATGTTACTCAAAAACTAATGTGATGAAAGGCAGATCTAGATCTAAGTTCCTGCCTCTCCAACCACAGCATTTAATAATCTTTCCACACAATGTCATGTAACATTACAATTTCATGTATTTGGCATTAATCCCACATGTCACACCCAGCTTTCACCTCATTGCCAGCAGTCCTTCTGACAGGAAGGCTTCATTATGACCAGGAAAACAAGCTTCCTTCCATACAGCACAGCACTGGAACAAGGTATTTGGGGTTTCTCAAAATACCTAATCTTCTTTCAGTCACTAACCCAGAGATTAAAGAATGGGATAACTCCATCTCAAAGCATCCCCGATCTCCTATATTCCCTCACAGAGCAATCAAAGATCTGCAAAGTTGTTCCATCTCTTCTTTCTATTCTTTAATACATATCACTTAATATAAGGAAAGCAAAAGGAGTGCTAGCAGGTTGATCCCAATGGTTACTCCCAGCTCTAGGAACACAAAAGTTAATTTGGCATGGGAATGGGCCACAATGGATTTTTTCCTGCTTCTAAAAGAGAAGTTTTGGTGAACCCAACATCCTGGAAGGACAAAGCATGGTACTGATCAGCCATAATACTGTATAAATAAAGGCACCGAATTCTAGTGAGCACGCCCTTAGCAACACATCCTGTTACAACCTTAGAAATGTATTTAACCCCAGAGTAAATGCTCTCACAGGAAACAATTAAGGTGGGTGGGTGAGTGGCAGACAGGGGTAGAAGAAGATAAAGGTTTACCTGCGAGACAGTTGGCAGGTATCGGAAAAAGAAATGGTCTAATACTGAAGCAGTTGGGAGGAGTCCCTGGAAGAAGAAAGAAGCTGCCCTCCAGAGCAGCTGACGGGGCTCTGGGAAAGGGCCTGCTCACTCAGCAAAAGCTCGTGACGTCCAAATGGCAAACAGCTGAACTCAGATGATCTGAGAACTGTGCTCACCTATGTCACAGACTTCCCAGGTCATGTTAGCTTTCTCTGCCTTCTGATATCCACATTTTAGAATAGTAATAATGACGACTTTCCATCTTTCAAGTCCTCGTAAGATCTATAGATGGAAATCACTTTAAAAGTGGTCAGTATTTTTAATCCTTATAGTACACTGTCCTGTAACCCAGCTAGTCTCTCTCAAAAGCCAAACAATAATCTATGTCATTTATTAATTTATTATGGCAATACTTCATCTTTTGTCAGCAATGCTGATCACAATTTCTTCTTTAGCGTTGCTCTCAACATACAACTTCATTGTTTATGGTTCCACATAAAGCACAAAAATCAAAGTGCTCTTCAGTACATCATTTTTTTTAACACATTAAAAAAGATAGGAGGACATGGTACTGAGTTTTCAATAAAACTCCATCCAATTTAAATAGGTGTAAAGAAGGACCTTCTTAAGCTTTCAACCTAAAATATTCACCATAAACAGTAATATAATCTGTGCAAGTAGCCATAACCTGGTCTATGCAATTGCTATATTAGTTGGTATTACTTACTCAGGCACCATCTATTCTGCTTCTAGGCATTACAAGTATTGCCAACAAGAGGTATCTTTTACTGCACATTTCTTTTAAGACTTGTTTCCTTACATCTGGACTTCCTGAAACAATTTATTGTAGTACAAGGGCTGGAGAAAGTTAGAAGTGGGAGACTAGTTTTAGTTCCAAACTGAAAACAACTTCTTGCCGCACCTTCTGACTGGTGTAACAATGACAGAGTGATTGATATTTTTATTTGGGGAATTTGCTCAGCAAACTATTTATTTCAAACACTCGCTTCTTTAGACATCATTTGCAAATTGCTTCTTTCCACTGCCCTTGTCAGAAACAAAAGCCAGCATAATTTTGAAGTCCAGGGCACAATATTCTACACCAGAAAAATAGCATCAGAATTTGCACTGGGGCCCTCAGGGACACACCAGGCTGACACATTAGTTTACAGATGACCCTCGGTAGCAGAAGGAAAATTGATTTTGTTTCCCTGACACCTAGCTCTCACAAAACACATTTTTCAGTTTGTCATCTCATATACTCAGCTAAAAGAAGTAGTAATTTATTTTGAGCAGATATTGCATACTATTAATTTTAAAAATACGAGGCAAAACAGAATAACTGGAGTTGTAAGATATTTACTTACCTTCTACAGTTGATGCACCTACATGACAATGCTCTTGTTCAGGAATTATGGGCAGTATCTTTGTGGTCTGTACAGTAAGTGGAATCTGTTCTTTGCTGGTTTTCACTATTGAAAGTTAAAATAATTTTTATCCATATTATTAAACAGCAAATACATCTGCAGAGAGTTAAACATTGAATCTGCAAGTTTGAAAGTAATTGAGACCTATCTGAACACAAGGCAGAGGTGGACAGCCAGTTTTTCAGTGAGACTTCAGTGCCTAGAGATGCAGGAACTCCTGAAAGTACCAACTATGTTTTGTATTTAACATCCTCTTGATACTTGTGAGACTACAACATGCTGATCCTAAGTCTCCCTGGGAAGCAGCTTGAAGGTAGGCAACTAAAATGCTCTTGGAAATTTTACGAGTAGTGAAAATACAAAAGCATGCAAATTTGGGGTTAACTAAGAGTCTCCCAAAATACAAAAACCTACAGTTGCCTGGTTAAGCAGAAACAACTGAAATTTAGAGTGTGAACTTTCTGATTCATTTTCACATAAGGGCAGCCCAGACTGCCGCTCAAGGAACACGTGATGTGGCCTCAGCTATCTCGTCATACGCACAGGGACAGCTACTGGGTATCATCCAGTTGTTAACAACGATAACAGCATGCACCTCAGAAGCAGAGAGAGGTGTGGTGATGCTGTTAGCACACTGGCAACACAGATCCCGATATGAGATCTTACTGGGATACAGACAAAGAAATGCGGAAATAGCGTTGTCAGGCAAATGAACTCCCAGTTGTTGATCCAATGCATTTGTCAAAGAACTACTGTAGAACACAATTAATATTTTAACTCCAGGTCCATCCTGTTCCTGACCATCCACAACTTCTGTAAACCTACAAATGGGTTTCTGCTGAGTTCATAATGAGAGGATGAACTGTGCCACTTACATTTAGCTACATCCCTTCTCCACTGACTATAGCATTTGGTCTTCTCATTTTAAAAATGCGATTAAAAAATAGAGTTTGGATCTTGATAATTAAGCAACTGAATATGAAAAGCAAAATTAAAATAAAACTGAGGTAGTTTTAAAATTAGAAAAATAGCAATGGATCTTGTTTCACCCTCAGGATGAACCTGGAAAGAATGAGAATGTAGGCTGATACTCCCTTCAGAGCCTGTGTGTGACACTGTTCTGCATGCACTCAAACTGAGCAGAGAAATGGCCCCTCGTGCAATGGTGCTCTCCTGAAAGCATACAGGGGCTATGAAAAGCTCCCAGAAATTACCTGTATCCTAGAGATTTTATGCTCCCTTCTGAAACATTAAAAAAGACCCAAAGTGGTAATAAGGCTTCACAATTTTTCTCTGGAAATGTTGCCTCTCAGAAGCGTGTAAGTCTGTGTTGAATATCGAATACTGTGACAAGCTTTGCTTTTCCCAGCATTATTCATCTAAGCTGCAGAGGAAAAGACAACTATTCATCTGTGTCAGGAACTGAAAAGGATCAGAATCAAATAGGTGGTGCTTCACTTGGCCAAGATTAAACAAATTTCTCCTTTCTTGGCTTTGCATCTACTTACTGCTGTAGAAGATGTATCTTGCCTGTCCTCTTCTCTAAAAAGAAAATGTATTGGAGAATACCAGGAGGAGTGAGTCTGAATTCACTGGGATGCCAGCCCTGACACTACTGGGCCAGCGTTTGCTTCTGTTTCCAACCTGTCAACTAACCTGAAGCTGTAGCTATACATCAGAGAGATGGTAGAATTTTGCCTGTTTCCTCTAATCTTGTAAGAGATAAACTATTATTTTAATAGGATAGCACAGAAGACAATACAGGAATTCAAATGACTGACAGGAGATTTCTCTCTGTGCAAATTACAGCTGTCAAGCCCACTTATATCAAATGCGATGAATGTCACAAAGTCTAAACAGTCCAGAAAACAAGCACAAGCCAGAAACCCTGAGGTTTTATTCTCCGAGTCCTGCCTGTCACCATGATCCTACAATGTCCTTCTTTCAGAGTGACTTATACAATTACCATCCATCAGAATTAACTTTGCATTACTGTGAGTCAGACAAGTGAGTCAGGGAATCCTGTATTTGTATCCTAAAATGTGACGAACCAAGCTGTCACTCCATGAGCCAATGGAGTACCACTGAAAGTGAGTGAAGTGTACTGTCTGAGCAGTGTAGAACAAGGCATTATGTCTGAACTAAGGTTGCCCACACAGACTGTAGAGCAATAACATGATGACATTAACAATATGATTCCCTGTCTGCACGGTCCCATTCTAGCATAGGAATGGAAGCAGGCTTTTTTTTCCAACAGACCTTATGCTGCTTTCAAAATAGGATAAAAATAATCAAGGAATGTCATTCCTAAGCTAGGAAAAGTAGATCTAAATAGGAATTTATAATGGTAGACTTGTTGTAATATAAATTCACACTTCAGTATAACCCATATAATTATATTAATGAAACTTCCACATTAAAAGACCCTGCTTAGGCAGATTCAGCCGAAGTATTGAACATCCTGATTTATGCATTCTGTTTCATGTGCAACTTCTTTTTTTTTTTTTTTTATAATAATGTAATGTACAGTTCACACACACTGGCCTGCTCCCACCAAGTAATTCTGTGCCATGCCCCCAGGCTTGTTTTTGTTTAGGATACAGCTATATGAGAATAGCTATCCTTAATCCGTTGCTAGTAGTGGGAAAGGTACTAAAGTGGGTTAGGGTAAGTGGGCCACGGAAAAGGTATAAGAGCAGGGCAAGTATAGCTGCCTTCCCTTTCTCTGGAACTGAGGCTGATTTAAGCAGTAAGCTGCACATGACAGCTAGCAGTTTCTATCTGAGTTCTTTTAAAATACTGTGGGGAATACTGTCTAGTCCTTCTAATTGCTATTATTAATTTATTAAGTTGTTCCAAAACCTCTTCTACTGCCTCTTCAATTTGAGAAAACTCATCAAAGAAATTCTTGCAATAGAAATCTCTGATGTGGGAATCTCCCTAGGATTCTCTGCCGTGAACACAAAGCAAGGAACCGACTTTTCTTCTACAGACTATTTTCCATGTGCTACTACTATCAAGTCCTATTTGATACAAAAACGCTCTGTGTCTGGAAATACAGATAGGCCACTTAAAGAATACTTAGTCTCAAGGGACAGTTTTACATAAATGCAATGGCAGGAACAGATCCAAAGTCTAGAAAATGTGCTCTGTACGGCCCATGCTCTAGTGCATACTTTTTTGGCTTAACAGCACAGGTAATGTTTAGTCAACATTTATGACCAGAATGCTTTAAAGTTCCCATATCGTCACTATATGTGCTTAATCCTTTGTAGTACCATGAATTTGGAAGGCTGTAACTTTAATCCTACCCTAGAGAACATACTACCTATTTTCCCTCCTTTCCTCTGACCACCAGACTTAATGGTAACGACTCATGGATATAGAGCCACTAACAGTTTCACAAAATTAGCATCCATGCCATAAATTATCTTTTTGTAGGACCACAGTGATATGAAGACAGTAATTCCCTGAGCCTGCCTAGGAAATAATTCTCATTCTCAAAGTACAGGTTTCCTTCTTTTTCTTCTTTTATCCTTTCTGAACTTTGAATAACCTTTTAGTAGTACCTATACGTCTTTTCATCTATAGGAGATACTGTCACATCCTCTCAAATAGATAGTTATTTAGTCTCATTACACTGTTTCCAGGGTCGTTGTATTGTCTTCAGTGGATATTTTGTTTCAAGATTCCAAGCTATGCGCTAATGATAGTGAAAATATTATCAAGGGCTGTCGCAGAAGTGATCTATAGCTATTTATAATCCATTATCACAGCAGCAAATCTTAAATTTAGCAACTGTGGAAAAAATAAACTCATTTGAAATGGTCTTGATTCCACTTTACTTTATATTGGTATAAATCAGGAAATTGACTGGATTGACTGGAATTAGGGTGTGTGAAATCAAGGGATTTCGTATTAAATTAAAACCCATTACAGTAGTTCATACAACTAAGTCTCTTTCTGGGTTAAATGGATAGATTAAAGCGGGATGAACATATATGTAAGAATGACAGACTAATATGGGATTCCTATTCTCTTCAGTAAAATCTAGTAAAACTAGATTTGAATTTCCATAATACTCCATTATCAAAAATGCCTTTGGATATACAACACTAAAAATGTCATTGTGAACATGCTGATAAAACAGGCATGGTATTAGTGAAGCTACTCAAGACAAAAGATGTCAGAAAGATAATTCCTTTCCTGCAGGATGAAAATAACGAGCTCATAAATACATCTTAGAGGTAGCCAGCGCTTTAAAATTGAGGAGCATAAATTGTACTCCCAGGAGAGTTCAGACAGACAGAGGGCTATTCACTCATTCCTAGGTAAAATTTAAGTGCCATGAGTTACTGAGATGTAGAGAGAAATTATTGAGTCTCCTCTTACTCCTGAAGAACCGGCAAACCAAACAGAGAGGTACCCAAACCTAGCCAAATTTTAAAACTTTTTTTTCATTTGCTAGCTTTGTAGTTGTTCTTGTTTTGGAGGGAGGTTGGTTTGCCATTCAGAACTATTGTTCTATGTGTCCGTGTTAACCTTTTTAAAGACAGAGCTCCCTTCATGAAACCAGAATCCACAAATTTATTGAAGCATATGACTCTTCCAGCAGTATCAGTGACGCTCAGAGCTACGGCTGCTCATTTCCCCTCACACAGAGGTTTGTTACCAAATCATAATTTCTGGAACCAAAACTTTGAGTTTAGCCATGCCATTTAATTCATCTGTGCTAAACATACTATCCTCTCAGAAGACCACATTTCAATTCCTATCTGAAACTAGAAAATTGTACTTTGTGGGAATTTTTCCCTAGAAATAGGCCACAAAGTGCCAGCAGAGTTATTCTCTGAGCCCTGATACAGCCACGCATTCTATCCTTTGGTAGCAGATTTTGTCAATAGTCTTAAACACATAAACCATGCATACACGTGTGTACATGTGTGTATGCTTTTCATACACACACAAAGCACTCAGCTGCCAAACCTCAAATGTGTCATGCAACACAACCAAAAATTAAAAGGCGGTAAAAAACCCAAAGTCATTAATGGAATACATTTGGAATCATTGTCAGCATTATTTATTTATGATATAAAAATGTTTCCATAACATAAGCCAGATCAAATATGTGTAGGATCAAAGTGACTCTGAAACAAGCCTGAAGCATCCTCTGACAGAAAAGACTTAAAAGGTCTTTCTTGACCTCCTCATGCCTCAAGATTTATTAGGTTTTTATTTTACTTTTGTATTACTTACCAGGAAAAGGATGAATTTTAGTAGCAGATATGGTTCTTCTTGCATGTCTGGAACTCCTTAGAATAGTCAAAACTGCTGCTACTCTGTGTTTACGATCTGTTTTAAACAAAATGCATTATCCTCAACTATAGAATTACATACAACACTGATTAGACAGAAATGTGGTAAACACCTTATTCTTAAACTGTTCAACACCTTCCACAAAAAAAACAGGAAAGCTTTGAAATAAGGTGATGAGGAGAACCTAGGGCCAGATGTTTTATATTTTCCTGAATGAAATTTTCTGGAAATTCCATTCAGGTTTGCCCCTTTCAATTTATTCCTTCCATGCTCTATACTGTGTACCGTGAATAAATTTTGGAAGGTTATCGAAGAAGTATATGTTCCAGTACAGGTTCAGACTCACACTGCTGACAGTAGAATAGCAAGGATGGAGTGTGCTGGCATCCCAGAAAGCTGACAGATTCTTTGCAAGAGTGGGGTGTTCATCTTTGGAACCACAGTTTGAGAGCAAGCTCTACACCACCCAGAGAGAGCAGGATAGAGGTGGGTTGAAGGCTTCTGACTGTCCTCAGCACCCAGTTCATAAACTCATCAGTCTTTCCATCCTTCTGCTGCTCTCTTAATACCGAGGTCTTGGTGGGGTTACTGCAGTTGATTGTGCAGCTGTTATGGTGAGCCCTGTTCTACAGTGACTGCAGTTCAGCGCTCACCCAGCTTCTGACGACAGGCTCGCTCCAATTCTACATAACAGAAGTGATTTTTTTTTTTTCTTTAAGAACATTAGAAAACTTCATCTTTAAGAAATTCATTAAGCTAGCTTTTTTTAGGCCATCATTTTTTTATGAAGAGCCGGCGGAGATCTAATGCACTGAAGCCCTAAGCATGCATTCTAACAGTTAATGTCAAAGAAAGTTCTGGAAGTGGTCATAAGACAAGAGTGGAAGGGAAAAGGCAAAAGGACTAGTTTCTGATTTAGCTCCTTTGTCACGGATCGGTTGTAACCTCCACCAAGTTTATTTGGATATTTTATTTTATGCACTTGTGGAAATAACTTCATTAATGTTTCAGAGAGTCTCAGAGTCTGCCTAGCAGAATGTCTTGGAAGGTCTCAAGACAAAATGAATAATTCCATATTTCTTAACAGCTTTCAGTAGTGCTCAGAAATTAAGATAAAAAGGACTAACTGCATTATGACTGTAAAAATTCTTAGCAGCTGTTTTAGGCTCATAGTAACATTCTACTGCGTTCTTTGGGCAGTACTGAAAAAAGCAGTATATAGGCTTGCAATTAAAGGTGGCATCATAATATATACACACAAGGAATATAACCCTTAAATCTGATTTTTATGTGCTTGTCTTTTGTCAGTAACATATTGGTGTTGTTTATAATGTTAGATATTGCAAATTTAACTAATAAACCCACTATTCACTATTAACAGAAAATGTATTCTAGAAGCAAATGAGTAATTAGAAGCCTCAAAAGGGCATCTTTTCCTCACTGCTTGTGTCCATGACAATTCTGATAAACCTGGATTTAATAGAAAACTGATGGTTAAGAATGAAGGCAGTAAATCATTAATCATCACTACTAATAGTTCTGGGGTGTTATGGGATGTTATGACTCAAAGCATAGAAAACCATACACATGACATTTATAGGTAGTTTTCAAATCACAAATAAAAGTCCTTCAAATTAGAGCATTTAATAGCCCACTTATAAATACCTAATTTACACTTCATGGGATTCTCATACACATAAAATAAGTCTCAGAATTTGGGTCTAGCAGTACGTAAAAGATCATGTATTTTAACCAAGATAATATCATAAGGAGTTTCTCGGGCACAGATTTGCCACTTTAAGCAACTATTTTGCTTATTCATTAAAAATATAAGCATGAATTATTTTTACTATGCAAAAAAAACACAGAAACATTTTGTATGTGGGCACTTTTCCTTCTGTTCAGTTGTGATTAAAGCTAGACTCCTACTGCTCTTTCGTTACAAAACTGCCTGTGGGTACAGTAGGGATGAGCAGGGGAATGGATATGGCTCATCATTTTTTTATTACCCCTGTGACCAAGGTCTCCATTTGGCCGCTCTGGACTACATGGGGAATGGACATCTGCCTGGTAATAGCAACTAAATGCTGGTTGTCTGGAGGCATTCTGCCCGCTCAGGGCTGACACAGGCAGAAAGTCTCAGGAAATTGCTGTGGAAAGCATCCAAGAGCTATTATCTCAGGTAACAACTTAAGTACAGTCTTTTCATACTGATGAAAGGTGTGTGCTCCCTGTACCACCTACCTCTGACTTGGGATGAAAACAAGGACCAGCAGCTGATAAGCGGTCGATTTTTTGCATTGTTTTTGTGCAGAGGATCTAATCTTGATTGCTCAAAAGTCTCAAGCTCAGGGTACTCCTACACTTTATTCTTGCTTTCTTCACCGTATATTGCTAGAAGAAATGCTGTAAATCCTGATTTCAGCCTGTATCCCAAATTAATTGCATAGGAAGAACCTGTCTTGGCTGGTGAAGGCATTCTGTAGAAACAATTGTTTCAGTCTCTGAACTAAGGACAAGTTCTTTCATAGCAAAGTTTTAATCACTTGGAATAGTCAATAGCGCTGATTCAGGAATCACAGCAATATTTTCTTTGCTGAAATAACAGCAAAGAGAAGAAATGTTATCTGGTCTTAATTCAACTCTGGGATTAAGAAGGCACAGCCTGATTGACCTGTACAGGATTACCTGCACCACTGAATTTAGATAACCAGTTTTTAGGCCAGACAGTTGAGTGCATATCTCCTCCTATCTATCCTGTATTTTTTTCTTGACCGTGACCTAGATAAATCATCTTCAGGAAAGAAAGGGTATTTCAGTCTGCTTATATTGGTCACTGGCATTTCTACTTCAGACCTTCAGCAAGGTTGAACTGTAATTATTTATCTGTTGGAATCAGTCTGAAACCAGAAGTTCATATCATTAAGGAACTTAGGCCACCAAGCATCTGTCAAAAAAAACCCATATTTCATTCGCCATCAACAAGCTTGGATTTGCATCCACAATTCAGAGGTGAGAGGTGATAGTATCAATCATCTGTGCATTTCTGTCCCTCTATAAGAAGCTTTCACCGTATTACAATTAAAATGTTGCTGTCTGAACCATATTAATAATGAGAAGCTTTGTTATTGTAAACGTATACATTTTTCACTGCATAAAAATTTTAATTCATGCAGATTAACTGTTTGTTACTCACAGTTTTGTTCCTTTTCTTGGATTATTTTGTAGATGACAATTGAAATAGTAAACACAAAAACTACTGGAATCATAGTGAGCCAAATGATCTTCGTCATACACATTGGATCTGTCCATAAAACATAGAAGAGATAAAATGAAGCAGGAAATCACCAGCAGAGAAAAGCAGAACATTCAATCCTGGTAGGTTTTTGGACCATGCCTGTCCCCACAGACGAAAATTTAAAACAAAATAGAAAATTATGCCTTTTTCTTCCAGCCTTTTTTGTTGTTTGAAATGAAGTTTCCTATCTAGAATTTAGTTTTATTTTCACCTGTATCTATCTCCCCATGTCTGAAACAGTTACATGTAGCGAAGTGAATGAAAACTTCTCCTATTTGTATAAACTGTTATATGCAACTCAGCCAGGAAGAAAATGCTTCAAAGATCAACATTTATATTTAAGGTAGAACAGAGCTAATATATATCCCCTCTTTGTCTGGATGGAGCACAGAAGGAGCGGCTCCACTGTCCAACACTGGCCTGTGGTGGCATTCTCAACCTCCCGGTCCATCTCCACATACAGGAGAAGGTAAGATTCTACATATAGAAATTTTCTTATCAAAAAGTGCGGAAATGCTACCAGCAGGACCCCTCTGGGGAGTTCTTTTAACCAAAGCTGCCTTGGGGAAGAATCAGCCTGGGACCAGGTGTAGGAGGCAGGCTGCTGTTTCGGACAACAGCTGCTGCAGAAATGCACCCACGTTCCGCAGGGAATTAGCTGAGTAACTAGTGCAAGCCAGGACTATACACCACAGACAAAGGATAGGGGGAACTTTCCACCCTGGTTGGTTGAAAAACCTTTCAAACTTCTTTGGCAGCTGCATGTTAATGCATACCTTTGCATTGTCAAATAACTATTTTAAAAACCAGCTATGTTATTGTGAGTCATATGAAATCAAATTACAGACTATAGCCAAACCACTGTTTTCCTTTCCTTGACTTAGAATAGCATAATTAGACCTACATCGACTTCCCTTGTGTATCTTCTCCACTGAGGAGTCATGAGGTAACTGCCAATAACCCCATGGCTCTTTGAGGTAAGCACAGTTCATCCCTCTTAATTCAGAACTAAAAATATCTTTTATACAGTCATTTAGGCTCCTTTCATACAAAAAGTACTCTACCCCATCTTGCAGTGACTTGTAAAGACTTGTGTATCAGCCCAGCTTAGTCAAAGGCCTGAGCACACCTCTAATTTTTTTAGAAGTAAATAGAAAAAAGATGAGTTGTTAATTTTTGTTGTTAATTTGAGATAACTACTTCCCAGGTAAATCACCATTGGCAAAGGGTGGTTGGCTCATAGTTTTGACACAAGTTAGCAGGGCAAGCTACAAACTATGTTCCTCTCAGAGATAGACCTACTTAGTCAAAAAAAACGAAGTTGCCCTCTCTTCTCTAAGATTTTACCTGGACTTATTTAACATAGGTTTAGCCAACTCCAAAACACTTTTTTTTTTTTCCAGCAAAGGTACGCCATAAAATGCATTTGCCATACAAAACTAAATGAATGTAATAATTCAGCAACTCCCAGATGGCAAGCATTGCATATAGACGGGCTGGAAGCCCTGACCATGGTCAGGCAGTCAGCCCAAAAACTCCTGCAGCACAAAGCGAGTTTTGAAAAGCTGACAGGCTGTCCTCTGGGAAAACTAAGCCTAGTTCAGCTGAAGATTTCTCTTCTAAGTGTACTGTAGTGAGGCTGTGTAGTAGGATATTGCAGTACAACAGTAAGAAAAGTCAAACCTGTCTCCTGGTTCTTCTGCCACTGAATTTAACAGGAATTTTTTTCATTTACCTCCAAGACAACAGAGTTATGCTATTATCAGGAAGGCGAGAGGAAAAAGTAATTCCAGGTTTTGTCATACATGCAATTTGTGAGTCTGTCACCGCTAAGCAAAAAAATGTACAGACACTTACTTTGCTGTGCTGCTTCGAGGAAAAAAAAGAAAGCCACATCTAAATCTGCTTTAAATCACTGTAAAAACTGTCAGTTGCCTACTAAAGATGGTCTTCTACTAAGGGATGATCAAAATTGTATTCTTTTCTTGTGAAATACTTAAATACTTTCAAATGGTTGCTGAAAGCAGAGAACTACCTACTGGAGATTTTTTGCAAGGCTCATATTGTTTCTGGTTTGATTTCTATTCTGACTCTCCTTTGTAACTTACATTCCACGTAAGACTTCAGTTGCAGTGAAATATTCATACAGTCATTCTGGTCATCCATCATTGCGACTAGACAGGAATGATTTAGGTATTCTTCGGGTGCATTTCTTCTGCTGACTATAGAATTGTTGATGTGGATTTCCAGCAGATAGTAAGTATTATGCTCCACTTCTTCTTTCTTGGAAATCGTAGTGAAATTAAAATATTTATAAAAATAAATAACATCTGCTTTCACTTCCAGTGAGTCTTTTGCTTTTGGAACTAAAAATCAAAACAAAACTGTTACATAACATGTGGCAGAGAAAGAGACAACTCTCAGAAAGAACAATAAAATAAGTTCTCTGTCTCATTTGCAAAAACATGCAGTAGGATTTTATATTATTGACTGTGATACAATGGACACAAAGATACCACGTAAAGTTATTCTGAGCAGTTCTGAAGAGTATTGATTATCTATACAAAATATATTTCCCCTGCAAATTATAGTCCCTTTTCTGCTTTACTACCAGCTTCAGAGCTTTTCAGGTTTTTGTTGTTTTGTCGGCTGTTATCAAAGGTAACAGAAACAAAAATCACGCAATGAAAAAAATAAGAACCAAGTAAAAGCCATATGATGACAGAGCTTTCAAGTGTACATCTAGTATCTCTTCTATCAGTTGCAGAAGGTCCTTGTTTCACTTCTAACCACACAAGCTGTGAGACTTGCACAGGTTGACAAGAAACACAAGTGGGTTAAACATTGTCAAAAGTGTTAACGTTGTACAGGTATAACTGAGAACAGAGTTCTTCCACATATTTTTTGTTTTGTTATTTTCCATACTTGTTAAGACAGCTATTTTGTAATAAGCAAATGATGCATTTGGAAAAGAACTGCTTTTCTTATGTTCAAGACTTGCGTTGTTGCCCCTGTTGCTGACAATGTCAGGAAAGCAAAAATCAGAGACAGCCTCTTCCCCAAAAGTTTCCAGATACTTTGCAAGTGTGTATGGCACAGAAGGAATACACTGCTAGTGCTCTGAGAAGATGTGGGTGTTGCTGGACTCTTCTCTGCATTGCTGTGCCAGTCCTTACTCAGTGCTGCCTTCTGTGAAGCATGCAAGGCCATTTCTGATGCTACACAGTTATGGATATCATAGACTACAAGGACAAAAATGGTTACTTCTTGTATAGCTGCCATCTGAACAGTTACCAACTTTGAATTAGTTCTTCAGATACTTGCTCACAACCGATCATCGTGTAATATCGGCAATCAACATGCAGAGTTCCCCAATGACATTTAAAAGCAAATTCAGCGTGAAAACTGATCAGAAACTACAACTCCTTAAAAATACATTAAATATTTTAGAAAATTTAGCAAGATTAAAAGAATAAGGGTGGAGATATAAGAGTGTTCGTAAAAGCCAGGTGGCAGAGGTCAAATTTGCAGCAGAAACATTCCAGGTGGCTGCTGGATAAAGCACTCTTTTCTCACAGCACCCTCCTTCCAGACCAATACAAAGCCCCACGAACATAATGACACACCCCCTACAATCTTTTACAACATCCTCAAAGAAAAGAAATCAGCATTTTGCTACTGGCATGTTTCACTGACAACCAGGAATGAATGCCACTGAGAATCTGACCTAAAAACTGCATTTCCTAGCCATGCAAAGAAAGCTAAAAAACCCCATTGTTTGTAGATTTTCAAAGACCATAGAGAACCAGCGGCACATTATAATTTTCTCATCACTACCAAACAAAATCTTGTCTTTTATGTTATAAATAACTACTTCAAAATTATTTCTCTTCCCCTACTCACCTTCTTTAGGTACTGACCCTGATCCTTGATGATCAACATCTACATCTCTCTTGGATTGACACTCTGTGTGTTTAGTATGAGATTGTTGTTCTTTCCTGGAGGACTGGCAAATACATGGAATATTTTGGAAATTGGAATAATTTACAATGGCCTTCAGTAAAATAGTCTGGTTTTCTCTTCTTGGTTGCAGTGATCTTTTGCAAGAATTGTTAAAAGTACAAAGTGGAAAAGTGGTGTTATTTGATGAACAGGTATCTACGCATGACACAATTACAGTGTTAGCTGTAAAAAAAAAAGAGTACTGTATTAGCAAGACAGTCATATAGGACATATGGACAAATACGTGCATGAAGGCATCATGTAACAGATACTTTAACCATCTCAGAATGAAATACACCTTCTTTCTTGAGGGTTATGGCAGCATATTGGTTGCATCAACAAGGGACAGAAAGCAAGCACAGCGTCTTCTCACAGCCTTCATGCCAGATTTTTTTGCTGAATTTTATGAAAACCCTTGTAGTACTAACTTGAATTTGTGGTAGTATCTACTCACATTCCTGTTTCAAAGCTGATCCGATTTGATTGTACTTGAAAAGGAGATTGAAGCACTCCTGTTTGGAGGGGTGACTTAGCCCTGGAACTGTGCAGTTGCAATGCACCAGTGCAATTATGTTGTTAAACAGCTACAACCAGAATGAAAACTTTCTTTCCAATGACATTGAAACCACACAGTGAAAATACACAGAAACACTGCTGAATCCTCCAACAACACCTTTCACGGTCTCTTGTATTCTGTCCACAAACATGAATCTTAATTATGACCATTGGTTTTGGTATTCATAGTAAAATTTCAGTATCAAATTACTGTAGCTAGGGTATATGCAGTTCTGACAAGCACAGAATTAATTACTATTGAGTGTTATTTTAGCTGTCTTCCACATACAGAAACACTGCTGAATCCTCCAACAACACCTTTCACGGTCTCTTGTATTCTGTCCACAAACATGAATCTTAATTATGACCATTGGTTTTGGTATTCATAGTAAAATTTCAGTATCAAATTACTGTAGCTAGGGTATATGCAGTTCTGACAAGCACAGAATTAATTACTATTGAGTGTTATTTTAGCTGTCTTCCACATTAATCACAGAATCATAGAATCATAGAATGGTTTGGGTTGGAAGGGACCTTACAGATCACCTCGTTCCAACCCCCCTGCCATGGGCAGGGACCCCTGCCACCAGACCAGGTTGCTCAGAGCCCCATCCAACCTGGCCTTGAACACTGCCAGGGAGGGGGCAGCCACAGCTTCTCTGGGCA